CAAATCATCACTTTCAAACATTACAAAAAGAGCATGTGAAATCATTACAAAGCAAGTCTAATTTTAAAAGCAATAAAAGTGTTATGAAACATGTTACATTACGTGAAATTGTGTGTATTCTGAACAACGTTTGAAGAAGATATAGTCTACCTGTTAATCTGTTATTAGTTTTAAGTTAAGGTTATTCGTCTTTCGACAACAAATGAGAACTTCTTATTCAAAGCAATTCTCACTGTTATGTTTTATGTACAATAGCAATATATATAAAAAACATGACTTGGTACGTCCACAATGCATCTTAAAACATTAACAAACAAATATAGCCTATGATTTTCCAAAAAGTAAAACATATTTAGCGTTTTAAAATTACATTTCGAAGCAAGCTGTTTTTGCAAAGCAACCGTCATGCATATAAAACAGTCCACACGAGACCCACGCGAAGCGGTAAAACAGCTACAAGTTGGCTTCTGACAAGTCCATGCATGTTTATATAGAGTTAGCCTTCCAGTTGTATTAGAGTTCACTCACCAGGACTCACGAGGGACCACCCCAGGGACCAGACGAAATTTTTAGTAAGGTCGAAAATTTCCGGAAAACAACGTAACATCTCGGAAATTACCAGAAAACTTCGGAATAGCTAGAGAATTGTAAGCCGGAGCTACCAAAATATTTTTTGCCGCAATTATACGAAATAATCAACAAAGGTTGAAAATCTTTGTGAAACTACCTTTTAATGCACGATCCGACAACCAGAAAAAATCGTTTTGATCACAATAATTTCAACAAGTTGAATAATTTTCGACAAGTCGACAGGGATTTTATTATGTGTAGGCATCTCAACAATTATCTAAACAAAAAAAGACACGGCAAAACTGCTCTTGGCCGATGAGAAGCGAGATTGACCTTGATGTTAACTAATAAAGCCAAAATGGTCGTCCTTATAAAATGATGTCATATGTCTATCCAACCCCTTTGATAATTTTGAAAAATCGCATTAAAAAAATCCGTCATGTAGCTCGGGTTAAGACTTAAGAGTTAAGACAATACCTAGCCGTTGAACTTAATATTCTCCTTTACTTTACCCACAAAGTTGAACACACAAAGGTCATAAAATTTTCAAAAGTGCCCAAAAATTAACAAACTTTCACTATTCATCAAAAGTTAATGAAGAAACCAAAAAGTTTTTCACTGCACGAACTTACTTCACGAATCTGGCAACACTGTTAAATAAAGAAACAGGCTGATAAATAAATAACTGGCATGATCTATAACTGTATAGACAACGGTTAAATGTTATCTATTTGTTAAATGAAATACTAATTTCTTCATCTTTTATCTTTATGAATCACATATGCAAGACCACAAGCCTGTAACAACGCACACCACTGCCAGCAAACACATGACCAGCCATTAGATTTACTCTCGCAAAGGAAATGGTAAATCATTCCATATCTATTGTTGTCCAAGTCAGACAATGAACGCAAAAACATTTACCAAGCAGGAGTAAAAGTCGAGATGGCTACATTACAGATTGCTAGCTTTTGAACTACATCAAATTAAAGGGGAAAATAGGTATTGTTAGCATTGACAAGTTCAGTCAGTTAAGATGTTCTCAACTTACCATTCTAGCCCGATTTCAGATCCTCATTCATCGCCAAATGACTCAAATAAAGAACACTCATTCACAAAATCAGATTTTATACCAGATTGAAGTGTTTCACAATATACATTTAAAAAACTCCTTTCGCTCAGCATCCCCTGAAAAGAAAATGAAGGTGAATCAAGGTACGTTCACTTCATATAGAATGAATTTTTGCTCACCTTACAACCTTTGTACACCAACAAACACTGAATAACATCTTTGAAAGCCAGTTGCATCAATCATGCCCAAGAATTGCTAATGGCTAAAAAACAACATCCACGCCATTGCTGTAAAACGAAATCTCATGTTTACCAGTTTATGATTTCTGTGATCTGAGAAAAAGAAAGCTCGTGCACCGATAAGCTCGATAGTCAGCGACACAATCTATTCGTTTTCATTTTCTTCCGGCTTTAGTTAAGTAGTCCCCACAACGAATCATCTACCTTCATTTATTAATAAGCAATTATTGGATGAGGTTGAGCATGATACCAAAATATATTCAGACCGATGTCATTAATATCTGTCGAAGCGAAGATGAAGTGGATAACAATGACCGAAAAATTCATGATATCATGCGAAACACGAATTCAATAATTGTTTTATTATTCACGAAAGTATTATCAAAACACACCAACATAAAACATTTTTCAAACCTTCGCTAAATTGTTTTTGTCAGACTGTTTGTTCAAGTTCGTCTCGTTCAAATATGTTGTAAATGTGTTCAAAGCCAGCTCGCCCCTTTTTTAGTGTTTTCCGCATCACTTTCCTTTAAAAGCTTTCACATCGTTTTTAGAAGCTGTGGCAAACATCGCCGTTGTTTGATTTGTTTTCAAAACCGGCTTTTAATGGGTGCAATATTTGTAGAAACTATTATCTGTAGGTATGACGTCATAACCCGCAGATATCGAGAATTATATGCAGGTAGTTGACCAATCAAAGCCGAGAATGCTCACATAGTGTATTATTATTCACTCTGTGAGCATTCTCGGCTGTAATTGGTCAACCAACAAAGTTCCAATTTCGTCCAACCGTGTCATTCGAAAAGAGATAAGTAGCATCTTCAACTCTGCGCCTCCCTTCCTAAAGAGTTATGTAGCACCTTCATCTCTGCGCCTCCCTTCCTAAAGAGTTATGTGGCATCTTCAACCCTGTGCCTCTCTTCCTTTACTTATAGCCACAGTCTGTAACCATTATAACATCGCTGATCCCACTGCCACCTTGTAAACCTTACCCTTTATCCTTGGAAAAACTCTTTATCACACAATACACTTTTGTCCACCCCATCCATGATCCACAATGCCTGCTTTGGTTATTCTAACCCTTTTTTACCTCAGCTACTTTTCCTGTTCTTTTTAAAGTAAAGTCCATCTCTCTACTACAGTAAACTCTATTTGATCGTCACTACATATAACAGTATCATTTGCAAACATCTAAGTCCATGTTGACTCCAGTCTTATTTCCTCTGTTAGCCGATTCATCACTATAGCAAACAAGAAAGGACTCAAAGCCCATCCATGGTGAAATCCCACATCTACCTTCAGCTCTTTCGCTATACATACAGCACAACTCACCATTGTCTTACAGCTTTCATACATATTTCCTTCAGACTTCCTCATACAATACCATGTTTGCTATCTCAGCACACAGTCTTATACTTTTTTCAAATCATTATCACCTCGAGCCTCGACCAATCCGATATGGAAGACATAAAATTCATTTGCATGGTATATTTAACTTTGGTAAATGCTTTTACGGCGTATGCAACGATTTAGAGCGCTATCCTCTAAATGTTTAACAACTGAGTAAAGGTGGGGCAAAGACGCCATCTTGAGAGGTGGCAAAAAGTAAAACTCAAACTAAAAAAAGGTTTAAAAACCCAATCCTATCAGACACTTTAAAAATCAATCCCAGACAATTAACTTGGCAGCTGTATATCAACTCAGCAAACGCAGATTTATTCATAAATATCATCTGTTTTGCCACCTTTCAAGATGGCAGCTTGCCTCATTCGTAACTATAAATTTTGATATCTAGTAGATTGGGTTTTAGATCATGGGGTGTATAGCCGTCATGATGCAATCCTCTGCATTTTCCTGGCTTGAGACCGGCACAAGAAGGATACTCTTGTGGCTGCATTGACAGATATCATTTCTACAACACGGTTAATTATTTAAGAAACGCCTCCAATTATATAAATACCTCGTATTTAAGAAAAACCCAGTCTGTAATAAACACCATCTACATATCATTATAATAATAAGTAGGACGTCGATAGGGCTCAAAACCGTATGTTGCCTTAGTTCTGTATTTGCTTGTTCACACTTAAGTAATAGAATTGATAAATACGGAATGGAAAAACCGAACACAAATTGAAGGTCATGATTAGTTTTAAATACCTGTGTTGACATGTGAGTGCTCTGGTGAGTACAGCAAACAAAATCATTACGTAATATTATATGAAAAACGTCACTTTCCGCAAAATGGACCGGCGGTCCAAGACGCGTAATTTTACATGCCATAATATAAACCTTTAATGCCACATAATAAACCTTTTATTAACCTTTCTTGGTCGGTCATTACTGAGAAATATCTGGCCTCTATTTTTACAACAAACCTCCTCTACGGATTCGGAAAACTTTGGCTCAATATTTCTCCATTATGACCTCGCAGTTGGTTATCAGGGTCAGGGAAATATCTTCTTTAAATAAATAAATTGATTTTAGGAACATTTGCAATAAATGCATTTGATAGACCGAATATTTTATCCTTATGGGCTTTTTGAGCCTAGAAGTGACTTCGCACCGGATGTGACGTAAAAAGGAGTACACGCGCATATACCTTTCATTACACAAAAAAACAGAGTTATGGTAAATCTTCCTCAAAATTTGCACTACAAATTTAAGATTCCGTATAGGTGTATAACTTGATGAGGCCGCTTAAACGAATAATCAAACAAAACCTTTAAAAAGTATAACTGCGTTTTCTTTTCCTTTTACGTCGCTTCAGGCTTTGCGATATTGACTTCTACGCGCCCATAAAGTTCATCAAGTTTACATTTTCAACATATCAAATATATTTCAAATGTTCTTAAAATCGATTTGACTATCTAAAGAAGCTATTTCCCAAATGATGCCTTGATGTACGAAAACTCAACGCACCTAAAAAAAACTCCCGGAGTGGATGATTTACGTCGGATAAAAGTGTAAATGAAGCATTCTAGATCCAAATTTGGAATTGTAATACTTAAATAACGCATGCTGGGCAAACATGAACACAGGGTACATACCACTGGTTGTTCATACGATATGTTGTCCGCCAGCAAGTCAATGCGTCCCACTAGTAATATTAGAGCTACGTATCTATTCAACTGATACTTTATTTGATTTTAAACTCTAAATGATCTTATCTTTGATACAACAGAATATTTCTACTTGGATTAAATCCACCTGTCACTGAGTGTCAGATCGTGAAAAATGTTAAACCCAAAGTGTTAACAATATAAATTATTACTTTATCAAATAGTAAATTAAATAATTTGCTGTACATATACATAACGTATACATTTAACGAACAGAATATCAAACAACGTATTCAATGGTTACATCTACCAATATCCACCATTGTAAATTTCACCAAGAACATATCAATAGTAATGGCACGTCTCACCTGTAACTACACCACCAATCCAACCAGGAGCAAGGCGTGTTAACATGAAGATAATGGATGGCCAGAGTTTAGCCTCGCCAACATTAAGGGATAGTGATGGGCACATTGTGGATTGAAGCCATTTATAGAATTCCTTCGAAGGTGGAATTTTCCAAAGTTCATCCTCTTCAACACAGCTTATGCCAAAAATACCATTCAGGCAAGGTTGATCTCGACTTTCACTATCTACGTCCAAATCCTCTGGTTGCAAATGAAAATATAATTCTTCTTTTCTCAAGTCGCCCATATAATTTGTATGTTTCAGGAAATTTTCGCAGATTTCTGGGTGAAATTTAAAGACTCCATTCACTAATTCCATTGGCTTTGGAAACTCCTCTTCATTCCATGGAAAAATGATAACTTGGATTGGTTCGTCCGTGTCACTATCTGAACATTGCAGTCCTTTAAGTGTAAGAAAACACAGCCAATCTCAAAAAAAATCACGCTAGTTAACTGACTCATAAAATACGCATTTCTCCAACAGAAAACCTTTTTTCTTTCTAGACCAGGTACAGTGGAACCATTGTATATGAAAATTTTTCAACAGATTTGTTCAGAACTTAAACACTCCCTCCTGATCTGATATTTACAAATATCTAAAGCAGGTGGGAGAGGTTAAGCTCATCAGACCACATCTAGTAAACAAATTGCATAAATGGTACACTGACCAGACTGTGGTTGAGTAAGTAGATCCTGCAGCTAGAGAAAATGACATGCATGATTTCTTTAGTTGTAGTTGTAGTCTAGAACCATAAACACAACATTTATTTATTTCATAGATTTAGTATTCATTATTTTCTTTTCTCACATGTGGTACTTACTTCAACAACAGCCTATTCTCAGAGCTGTTCCGAGAATATTTATTGAGGTGGGGATGTGTATTCATATATTCAGTTGTGTCTGACTGATTTAATTTGACAATAAATTGCTTAGTCCCTTAAGTGAATTGCTTTCAAAAGCTATTGATCCAGCACATTTGAATATATGAATCAAACAGCCCCTGACATAAGAGAAATGTCTGAAAGTTTGGTAAGGTCTAAAGTTCCTGCTTAAGATTTTTAACTAAATATCTGAAGGAATAGAATTAATGACACAGTTTATGTACCTTCCTTGGTGAAATTCCTGAGTAGAATTCAGTAAGATCCTGTGGGATTTATATAATACTTGATAAAAATTCCTGAGCAAGATTCTGTAGAAATTTAGAATCTCACAGGATTGAGTACTTAGGATACTGTAGGATCTTGTAACATCTTACTAGGTTCTTGTAAGATCCTAGAAGATTCTGTAGGATCCTGAATAAGATAAATTTAGACTTAACTTGAAATTTCACCAAGGTTGACGAGGGAAGCTCAGTTGCTAAGCATTATAACAAAGTATAGTACTTTCATATTTTTCTCAAGATTAACTGGAAGCATATGCTCTTTCAACACAAACCAGCCACAGCCATGCAATTATTCCATTGGATAATCAAATTTCAAATATCAAGAAGTCTTCATTTTTTGTGTTTAGTATGGTAGTAACCAAAATGCAACAGAGCATAAAAAAATACAATTTTGAATTTTAGATGCAAATAAGCACAACTATGGAGAAATTTGTTACAGTGAAACTGAGAGTTCGGATACAAAACTGAGAGTCCAAACATAGTACTGATACGTAGTTTATGAGTGACTGATACATAACAAAACCTCAAAACCAATGAACCAATAGGTTAGGACATAAGATAGTACTATTGAATATAATCAGTTTTAAATTCTACAAACCGTAATCTGCTCATATTTCTCATAAATTAATGACAACTTAATGAATTAAGAATGCTTAATGCCTAAATCGCCAAGTTCCTAAATATTGTGGATTGTTGCAATTTTGATTATAAGAAAACTGACAGACTACATTACTATACATCAGAAAAATTCCTATTTCAAGGATCTTGCAACACAATAGCTATTATGTAATACAACAATAGGAGAAATGCAAAAGTCCATCTGAGTAAGAATATAAGTATGATATAATAAGTGCATTTCTGACTCACCACAGTTGATGTCAAGACGAACTAATTCACTTTTCATATAAGTCAAAATCTCAAGAGATCGAACTAATCCTTGTATTGTTTCAGCATCTCCAGCAAGAGGATCCAATCCATACGGGTGGATCACACCACAATTCCACATTGATGGAAAAGGTCGAATGACATAAGCATCATCTCTGTTGTTGTAGTAACAATACCTAAATAAATATTATGGCTGTAAATATGCCTCTTTTTATAACAAATAGTTTTACTAAATGTTTCAAAATCCAAATTACTTTGAATTAAACGAAAAGTCCTAATTCGAAAAATATATTTGTAACAATCTCCTAAATGTCAATGCTTTCATTAAAGCTCTTACCATCTCACCAACAAGAGGCGGCCATACCCACAGTTATTGGCTTATTTCAAAAAACATAAATTACATATAACTTACCAAGATTCCGGATATTCTTTCTCCCATGCCTTGGAAGCCCACGTGGCCAAAGGATACTCGTTAGAAATATCTGATTTTATATCAAGATCAAAGTGTTTCACAATATAACTTTTCCAAAAACTTTTCGTGCTCAACATCCTCTAAACAAAAAATGAAGTGGAATCGAAGTACTTTCGGTTTACATTGAAAGAATCTCCGCTCACCTTCCAAGCTTTACACACCAACATACAACGAATAACATCTTTGAAAGGCAGATGTAGCAAAATGCAGCGATAAATTTCTAATGGCAATATGATGTTTGGGTGGAACATGATTATACATGAATCGAGGAAAAACACAAAACTGAACGAAAAGATTCACGTTAACGGGAAACGTAAACCTGAAAGTTCAAAGAAAGCTGGAGTCAATAATTAATAATTATTAATTCCGTGTCTGTCACATTTTAAGGAGTAAACAGTTTGAAGACCCATTGAACTGAATGTAACTGGAAGAACACTTCCCGCCAAAATTTAAAGGCCGCAATATGAGCAATGTCACTGAGCTGCCAATAAATGGAGAGCGAAGTTGCGCCTTGCAGGATTTTATAAACGATCGTTTTTAAGGCTTAATTTTCTAGGATTATTTCAATTCTCTTTTGATACTTCATAAATTATTTTGCAAGAACTTTTCTAAGAGAGAAAACACTAACTAAACTACACTTTTGGAACACATAAGTTATTTCAGACGCGTAGTTGTTGCATTGAAATTAGTATCAACAAGAGCATTAACAAAAACATACTTTTCATGACACTTCTTGAAAGCGAAACTAAAGTTTCAATATATATCATTCATACATTATTTTTTATATCAAGACTCCGAAATAACTCAATCCAAGATTGTCAACACTATAATCAAGTTTGTGAAATAATTATCAATTTTGCAGAATTTCAATTCAAACAAATGATTAAACCTAACATTGCACAATGCCCAGTAAAAAGTACAATGTTTTCTGGTATATGCAATGTTAATGACGTAATTTTTATCACGTTACGTGGTTGTATAATTTCCAGATCAGGTTTTGACTCATCCTTATTCACTTCCAAAGAAAAGCGTCGTTAAAGCGATAAAGAAAGCTCGAACTTATCAAAAGTAGCTGAACCTTCGCCTGAGCCATTCCAATGCAAATCCTACGACCTTCAGTAAAGAGAACAAACTGAGAAAATGCAGACCAGCCCACAAATTTACCATTTCCATCCATAAAGCGTTCTGGTCGGAATTCCTCGCTGTTCTCCCAAACCTTTGGATTGGGGTGGACTTGATAGAAATTGGCAAGAAGAGGATTATACTTTTTAATCGTGAAACCATTTAATACTGTATTTTTAGTTACACTACGACTTGTCATTGGAAGCACGGTTATGTAACGTAAAACTTCGCAAATTGTCGCTTCTAACAACGGCATATTTGAAGCATCTTTTAAAGACGGAAGTTGATCACGGCCAACCACGTCGTCTATTTGCTCCTGAATTTTCTTCTGCAAATCAGGTTGCAAAATCATGATGAGCATAAACCATTCCATAGTCGTTGAGACCGTATCAGTACCGCCCACTAAAACATTCGGAATTACGTAGCTCACAGCAGTCATGTGGTTTTTTTCTTTGCTGTTTTTCCTTGTTTGAGGATGTCTTTATGGCAAGCGGAGATAAGGCCATCTGTATTATCACGAGTAACACCTTCTTTGTATGATTTATAATGCTCTGTACACTCGACTCCAAGTGTTCTACTTTTGAGATTTTGAATTTCATCCATGGTCTTATGAAACTTTGACGGAATATATTTAAGGAACGGAAATAGACGGTGTAAACTACAAAACTAAAACGCCCTTCCTACTTTGTCAATCGAAGCTATCAAGTTTTTAATCATCTGATCTCCATGCGAACATTTCTTATCTACAAGCCAACTCCAAACTATTATAACCACCGTTTCTTTAAAATCGTGGCCAGAGATTTGCCAGGCGGAAAGCGAATTTTCAATATGAACATAATAGCCCAATATAATACTTTTAAAAAAGCCATCACAATAATAAAATAGAAAATATCCCCGTACTTTTTGCGCAGATGTTCGAGAGAAAATGGAAAATCAACTCCGGTTTAATGAAGGTTGCCAATAAAGGGCAATGGAATTGGTCCAGGTGGCATGTTTTGTCGGTTGAGATAGAATTTCAAAATAAACGACGCAAACCAGACAATTGTCAGAATAAAAATCATTTTGATGGCTATGAAATAGGTGGGAAAAGACCAAATTTTCTCTGTGCAGCTCGGTGCTGCGTATTTGATTTTATTGTGGCTGTACCTTATCAGTTCAGCGATCAAATTGTCAGAAAATGCAAGTGACTGGCAGCAACTGCCGTAAACACATACCATACAACTTTTTAAAGTACATTTTTTCATACCGTTTCATTGGTCGAGAGTGTGTCACACGAGATTAAGGAAATTACGCTGTTTTCTTTCAAGTAGCCGAAGAGTTAGATGATACTGTATCTAAAGGTAAATAATAAACAAAACGCAAATTTTCTATCAGTTTCATTCAGTAAGTGATTTATTGTCATACAAAATATTTCAATGGAGTGCACACATACAGTTTGTTCCAATTCTGCTCTGCTTACTCATATGGAATGTTTACTTTTAAGAGCAGTTGATTGTATGACAATTAAGAAATAAAAGATGTTTACTGTATTTGCGCAGGCTTATGCAAACCGAGGAGACCTTTGGGAGAACTCAAGAGCAGATCAGTGCATGCCCGAGACCGAAGGTCGAGGGTTGCAACTGCTCGAGAGCAACAGTTTACAATCAAAAGTTATTTGTTCTACATAACAATTGGGAATATTCAACTAGCATTAACGTATATTCAATAAGATCAAATAAAGTAATTTAGATAAAGAAGACATCCAAATAAACACATTACTTTCAACGATAGAAAAGCTCAGTTAAGTGCGGTGTTGTAGTTAAGCCAAACTATCTGCGACAGACTACATGACTATATCTGTTGCTATACGGACTATCTGTCATACAAATTATGTATATTCTTTTGAATGTCTGCTTTGCCTAAAGGATCCTTCCTTTGGTTTTATTGAATGCACGTTAATGACACTTGAATACCCATTGTTATTATGTGACAAGTGCCACTTCTAGCAAAATGGCGCGCTTTGATTGGCTCGGGAACATTTTTGCCGGTCATTATTTTCCCTGTAATCGACCACGGTCCAAAACGCGTAATTTTATTGTCAAATGAAAAGAAATTTCGTAAAGCAAACAGCAAAACGCAAGAGAAACGAAACAAAAAACATTTACGAATGTGAGTCGAAGGAAAAACACTCGGGAAAACAGTTTAACTATTCAGACAATACAATTTGAAGCGATTTATTTTTTACTAAAAGAGTGAAAGACTAGAAGAGTGAAAGCTAACCCGTACAAAACAGCAAGGAAGAGAAATAAAGCAAGCTTCGTTTCAGGTCAAATAATGCCATATAATAAGCCTTTTAATTACCTCGCTTTCTCGGTCTTTACTGAGAAATATCGGATCTCTGTCTACGGGCTCGGTCTGTATAAAAAAACGTCGGTCCGATATTTCTCCGTAAAGACCTCGCGCTCGGTTATTAAAGGCTTACTAATTCCAATTAGTATGCGCTATAAATTAATGCTTTTGATTGTGGACTGGTGCTCTCGATTGTTTCTTCTTGTTAAATTGTATATATCCTACAGATCTTTTGTTAAGTTAAAGCGTTTAATTATATGCTCCATGTTCTCTAATGGTGAGCAAATGGTGTGGTTGTATGGATGGTTGCAAACACAGCCACGAATAAAGAAACTGGCATGCTTTACAATACAAAACATGCCTTCAAGTGAAAACATAATTCTTCTAATAAAAAATCACAAAATCCCTCCCAAATTTATGAAATCATTGAAATGAATATCTAACATTACAATGTAGCATGTATAGCTGGTTCCAAAAAATTGCCGAATAAACGCTGTAGCCTGTATTCTCTCAACGAACAATGGTGTTTGTTTTGGGAATACTTTCATAGTGATTTTTATTATGCAAAATACGCAGTAGCCTGTATACTGATGAAGTACTTACAATACAAGCAACCACACTCAATAGCCAATAAATACCCCCGCTATTTGAGTGAATATTGAATCATATAATTATATGTTTGTAAATGTAGATCGTCCAGGTTGGTAAAGTCCTGAGAAGGACTGTTTTTGTTGTTGTTGACTGACGTTTCGACAATCTTAGCCGTAGTCATCTTCAGAGTCAAATGAGGAGTAAACGTCAGGTAAGCCGTATTTGTTATCTGGTTCTTACGTCATTGTATTGTGTGTACAGGAAATGTGTATTGTCATTGTGAATTAGTGTAAAGTGAAATGTTTTTAGTTGTGATGTGTGATTTAGGTGTGATGTTTTTAGTTGTAATGTGTGGGTGTCAATTGTGTATTGTCATTGTGAATTAGTGTTAAGGGTAATGTTTTTAGTTGATAGTTTGTATTGTGAATAAGTCGTTTTTAAGTTGCCGGTCATTGCTGTGATCTGTTCAGGGGGGTTTGTTTCAAGTTAGTGTACCAACTTTCTAATTTAAGCCGTTGTCTATAGTTAGTACTGTTAGTAATACATTTTGCCGAGTCCCAGTCAATGTTGTGCTTTGCGATTCGGTGATGTTCGGCAATGTGATTAGTTTTGTCTTGTTTCTTAGTAGCTCGTTTGTGTTCAGTAAGTTTTATCTTTAAGTTCCTGCCTGTTTCCCCGATGAAGGAGGCGTGGCAGTCGGAGCAGTTTATTTTGTAAACTGCACCTTGTTGTTCGTTGGGTTGTTCTTTGTCCTTTATGTTCGTTAGTACTTGTCGTAATGTTGTGATCGGTTTATGTGCGACACGTATGTTGTATGGTCGTAACATAATCGAGATAGTCCCAGACGTACCTTTGATGTAAGGTATCGTTGCTCTTGTCACTGAGACGTTCGTTTCGTTGGGTTTGTTGGGTTTGTAAATGTTGCGTTTGATAAAGTCAGAGTTATAGTTGTTTTTGTCAAAAACACGTTTGAGATAGTTGTTTTCGTTGTGTAGAGCGTACAGTGAATCACATATGATTTGTGCACATCTTGTTAATGTTCTGATTGTGGTGGCTTTGTGTGATGTAGGGTTGTAAAATGTGGAGGAATGGGGCTTAGCAATTCAAGAAAATATAAAAAAACTAGGGCTGGACACCATATTCCACCAATTGTTTTTTAGGCTTACCCTCATGAGCCTGAGCTCTGTATGGTTTAGCACATAACGGAATACATCAAGCGAACAAAGAATTTACGAAGTGAAGAGTGTTAAAAATTTTTAATAAGTTATACGAAACCGTGCAACCTTTCTCGCGTAAGACAATATCGCTGTGGTGCAAAACAGTGTTATCAGCAGCTGGTATTAATACAAAGGAATTTGGCTGTCACAGTACCCAAGCAACCTCTTGGCCTTGTGTAGGTCATAAATTAGGAGACATCAATCAGAATATTGAGTCGGTTGGCTGGTCAATTGCCTCTACTTTTTAGACATTCTACCATAAACCTATTAAAACTTCATTTAATCTTGGTTCGATAATTCTGACACCAGTAGACAATAATTAATATGTTTTGTCAACCTTTAATATGATATTTAACCTTGACTGCTGGAATTGTTTTTTCTTTTAATGAAAAAATTTAAGTCTGATTATATTGTTCACTGTGAAATCTCATACAACTTGATACGACCTAGGCTTATGACGTAGTAAAATTTAAAAATTAAACAAGACTTAACTTAAGTTGAAGTTTAATTTGAATTCTACGAGTTATCAGCCGGGAGTGGCAGAGTTGTATGCCCGAACCAATTGCTCTACAATCACTCCCACCCAACTCTTCTACTCGAACAATGATCTCAGACTGTCTTTCTCATACAACCTTTCCACTCCCGGCTGATGACTCGTAGAATTCAAATTAAACTTCAACTTAAGGAAAGTCTCGATTAACTTTTAAATTCTATTTCGCATTTACAAATTACCTGACGGATTGGGATAAAACACAGGATACGGATGGAACGGACACGGATGAGGGGATAAAACACGTATCCGGTAGCAATGATACGGGATAAAACACGTCTGCTTGAAATCTATTTATATTCAAGCGGTGATGTTTAGCACAAATAGCATGAAAACGTTTGCATCAATATTGTATGTTTTTGTTGAAATTGTTCCATGTGGGCAAATTGTGGGAAAGTAAAACCAAAAGGTCAGACAACAAAGCTCGGCAAAAGTTTAATTTGCATGTGAATAGCTAGCGTACAAGCTCTCAGACCGCGACAAAGATTTCGACAACAAGAGATTGTTGCCTGCACAACGTCTAGACTGGCTGTAGAAGTCGAGCGTTTTAGCAGTTAGCTACATAGCAAGGGGAAGTGCTTTCTGCATCTCTTGTCCGCCAAAAGTTGCAGGGTAGAGTAAGCCAGCCTTAGGCCCATATCTTGGTGAGCAGCATATCTGAGTGCTTCCTGTTCAAGCATATGTATTGCAAATCATCTTGAATAAAGTACTTCAAGAAAAGTCTAGTAAATTTCATATGTAAAAATTGCGTAA